GGCGAGGGGAGGGGAGGAGGGTGGGGGGCCAGAGAGAGAAAACGACTTCCAGTGCAGAGTTGTAAAAATATAAAGGATGCGTTCTGAAAGTGTTGTGAAATCTTGTCAGATCCCAGTCTGAGACACATGGTGGATCGATGGTTTTGAATGCAAGAAGTATCATAAAAAGATTTTAATTTAGTCACTGTAAAGCTTGATATATTCGAAAAGCTCATGTGACTGACTGAACAAGTAGATGGTTCAGTATGTAAAGGGATTGGTGCATTTGGTGTTAAAGCCTTTGGTGACCAAACAATAAGGGTGTGAGAAAATATATAAAAATATTGTGATATTGTATCAATTCTAAAAAGCACTGTATCCCATCTAATAGATAGCAGTGCTGTAAATAAAACAGCTATGATGTTGGATATTACAAATCACAATGTATCACCTTGCTTACATATATTGCAATACATTGCAATATATTGAAAAGCAACCCTTGTTTAGTGATATGGATCGTATCAGCAGATTTGTGCAGAGTATATTGATACTTTCTTACACCCCTACTGAACAGTTGACCCATGAGCTACACACAGACAGACTTTCTCTGTGGTTACCAGCACAGACGCACACATTGAGCTGTCAGTCACAAGACGCTGAGTTGGTTTGTGGCGAGAGACTGTCCCAGATTGCTGATACCACGCAGGACCACAACAGTTCGGGCCAGCGCAGTTATCCCAAAGTGCAAAGATGCGGGCTACAGCGGGGGTACTCTGGGCTACACTGTCTGACTGACTGAAAGAGCAGAACTATGAGCCTGAGCTCAGAAAGCATTGTTAAAAGTGCCCTTTGGCAAGACACTCTGCTGCTAATTGTCCCAGTGGAGCTGCTCAGTGTGCAGCAGCAGAGCAGTTGTACTGTGAATCATCCTCCCGGCTGCTGTAAACAAGGCTGTCTTCTTCAGGACAGCAGGAAGCAGACTTCTTTCACTCCGAACTGGCTGCAGTGTCTGCTCATTTTTAAAAGTTAGCCACTTTGGGTATCACACCAACCAAATAAGATTTGGGGAATAAAGTTAAAAAAAAAAAAAGGGTTTAGAGTAATGTGACCCAGAGAGAACAAATCTAACCCACTGGAAATAAAGTAGTCATTAACATGTGTACTCGTGGAGTAAAGTGTGGCAGAAGAAGGCAAAAAGGGACAACAGACAACTTGAGCAATAATTGGCCAATTGACTGAGTTGTCGACTATTAAATTAATCGCCAGCTATTTTCATAATCAGTTGTTTTGAGTAATTTTTTCTAAAAATAATTTTTTGATCAATTCTTGATTGATGATTGATTGGTTCTAAAATGTAAATAGTTTCTGGTTTCTTTAGTTGTCTTGTCAGTAAACTGAATATATTTGGATTGTGGACAAAACAAGACATGCCAGGATGTCACTTTGACCTTGCGTAAACATTTTCACCATTTTCTGACATTTTATGGAAGTAATCAATTAATAATCAATGGTGGAAAAAAAATCTGATACAAGCACACGTGCACATCCAACAAAATCATCTGTTGACCAGTTGTCTTTACATGTGGTATTAATTACCTCTTAATGTCTGCGTCCATGCCTCTGTAAATGCATTTATTCTTATTTATGTGTTTGTGTGTTGTGTGTTCATACGTGCAAGTGTGTGCCCTTGTCCCTGTCCAAAATGTAACATTGCCCAACGGCTTCCACGTCTGTTACTGGTCCCAGCTCGTGTTGGCAGAGAGCTGATGGAGGTTAGCTAAACTCTCAGGCTGTATTTCATTCATGGCACACTCCTTCCCTTTGGAACTTAATAGCGGTGTGGGGAAAATTCCTTTTCAGGGTCCATTGCCATTCTCTGCATGGTTATTATCACCAATTAAGTATGAAAAAGAAAGAAAAAACGTTCTCAACTAATATGATCTGATACGACTTTGCAAACTGAGACTTTATGGAGGAGGAACAGCTTATAATTTAGATAGATAGATAGATAG